TAAGCATGGGTCTTAATCCAGTATGACTGGTGACCTCATAAGAAGAAGAAGAGACAGCAGGAATGTGCACACACAGAGAAAAGGCCATGTGAGGACACAGCGAGAAGACAGCCACCTGCAAGCCAAGAACCCATGGTGGGAGCGTCGCTGCACTCCCAGCCCCGCACTCTCCCGAGTGCGCCACGGGGCTGGCCCGGCAGCAGCATTTTAAAACTGCCCAGGTGATTCTAATGCAGCCAAGATTGAGACCCGCTGGGGTAAATGGTCAATAGAATAAAAAGCTAAGCACGAGAGCAGCAGAGCTCCCCTCGGGGGTGTTTTGAGCTGGTCACAGGTGGGCTGGACACCTAAGCCCCCAGGTCAGTCACCGCTGGCCATGAGTGGTCTCATCCATGTACCTCAATGTGCTGAGCACATGTCAGAAATTTCTACATGCGGTGTGATGTGTCCAAGGTTTGAAAGACAAAGGTGTACAGGGCTCCTGGCTTCCCTTTTCTTTTGTTAAGCATCTGCCATTTGCCCTTTTATAGAACACAAGATGAGTGAGACATTGTCCCCACCTTCACAGGGCTTACAGCAGGGTTGGGACAAGGTGAGGCAAATGGGGTGCTTAGGTGCAAAATTTTGGGAAGCACCTAAGGCGCAATCATACTCCAGACCCACGTCCCAGCCCAGGTGTGCCGACTTAAATAGGAAGAAACATAGATAAACAAACACATCTATTATAATATAACGGATGGCGTAGTTGTTACTGAGACCCCAATAATCGAGAGACAAGAGTTGGTGTAAGGAAAGGCAGCCTTTAATCAGGAAGCTGGCAGCCTGGGGAAATGGTGAACTTATGTCTCAAAGACCATCTTTGCCTCTCCCAGGTTTGCCAAAGGGTGTTATAGGGGTTTGTGGTGGAAAGCTGATTCATGCTGACCAAGCAGGGACTTGCAGACATGCTCGAGTGTTTCAGATAATCGTCAGGGAACTTTCCAGGTGGGAGCTAACCAGCATCTTACTCCTTCTCTATGGGTTTCAGTTCCTGCTATTCTCAAATAAGATCAGAGTTAGTAAGCTAGTAAAGAATGACCATCTACCTTAATAATTTTTCTCTAATTATTTGTGTACAATGTGAGAGCAAGAGTCATTGTGTTCTGGCAGCTGGCTGGGAGCTGTGTGGTTTGGGTTATAGGAGAGAACTAGTTTTCAAATCCAAAAGTTTCACAAAATGGAGTCACTCCTGTCCAGGCTGTTACATGATCAGAATCTACAAGGGTGCCATTGAAACACAAAGAGGAAGGGGTCGATTCTTCTTAGGGAGACATTCTTTGGGCTTTTCAGTAAGTGTCTATCTGGAGAAACCCATATGGTTTGCCCCTTTCCCATACCAGCAAAAAAAGGTACTGTCTTGAGCCCCTGGACACACTCTCTGGCCTAACACCATGAACTTTACTTTGTATGCTTTGAAAAGCAAATCCTGGCCTTTAGAGTCTTATTACATGAGAGAACAGAGAAGAAACCAGCAAGGTTTATTGAATGAACGGAGTCACGGCCCTGCGCTCAGGCCCTGAAGCCTCGTTCACTCATCCTTCCACCCTTCACAGTCGTGAAACCCAGCGGGGTCCATCTCAAGCTGGTGCTGAGGTTCTCGGACTTCGGGAAGGCCATGTTCAAACCCATGAGGTAAGTGACCGCCTTCCTCCCTGCCACGCCCAGTGTGGCAGCCCTGGGGGAGTTTTGACCAGAAAGACATAAAAATGACCTAAAATCTTTATGCCAGTCATTTGGAGACTCTCTTTTGAATAATCTGCCCAAGCATATAACTGTTCTGGCAGCTTAAAGCACTCCCTTAAGGGGGGGTTGGAGAAGATCCATTGCATGTTGGATTCCCTTGAAAAGCCTTAAAAAATCCTGAAGCCTGAGTTCCTCTTTCCCATAATCCCAAGGCCCTGGCAACCTTGAGAACTGCTGCTATATAAGGAGATCCCCCATTTTTCCTATGCAAAAATCCAAAAACCTAGTTGTTTGGTCAATTTAAATACTAACTTTTCAGAGATGGATATGAAACAATTGAATTGTCTGCAAATATTTAGTTTATTGATTTTTAAATCCCATCATATAAAACACCATATAGATTTAGAAATATTGCCTACCCACACTCTCACATTTCCCTTGTCAAAATTTTTGTCATCGGTCATCCTCATCGCTAGAGTCAAGTTTGGGGTCAAGTTAAATCAATATTAAATTCTACCCCCACTACCCACCCCCATCACCACCAACAACCTGCCTTAACCAGTTGCATCAGGCAATAAAACCAGCAACAGGGTGAAGTTATTTTAGGTTAGTGGATCTGTCCCCCAAAAATAATGGAGAGGGCATCCCCCATCATTTGAGAAACTATGCAAGGACACCTCTCTTCTGAGGGACAGTTTTGGGAGAGATCTCATCTTATATTCAGACATATACAAAGCACTAAAATAAATAAATAGAATTCCTTTAAAATGAGAGCAGTATCAGTGAGCACACATGGCCATTAGCAGGGGTTCCACAAGAAGTGTGACTCTGGCACAATACTCAGCTGAACACAAGAGCCACCAGCAAGGTTCCAGCCATCACAGAGTTTTAAATTATTTTACAGTTAGTCATGTGCATTTCATGTATACTCATAAGACAGCACCAGTTAGAGAGAGGCGACATGAGGAACACTGACATAGAAATGCGAGACGTTAATAAGAAGCATAAAAGTCATGATAAATCTGCAAATTCACCACAAGATGCCAGATCCATAAATTACGTTCTCCAAGCTAAATTTTCACCTGGCTCATTAGGATGTCTCTAATTTTTAAAAACTGGGAGCAATATGGAGTGGATGAGCTCCACTTTCACATTTCAAGTGTTAGGGAGGAAAAACCTGCAGTGTTTCATTTGCAGGAAAATAAATTAACATAAGTAACAGTCTAAAACCTCTTCTGCCTGGTTGATTAGAAATAAATACAAAAATCGTTCAAATTAACTAGGTTTTTTTCCCAAATATAATGCAAAATCTTCCAACATTCAGTGGTAAGAGATATTTTACCTATTCTTATGCCATAACACAAAGTTTAATTTACATTTTTATAAAATGTAGTCCAAAATCAAACTAAGTATTATGTTACAATGTATTTCTTGAAAAACCATGCCTTTTTTTCCATGAGTAATTTAAAGCAAGCAGTTATTTTTTCCTTATTAAAGAGGGAAATTTGAAACTTACCATGGGGTAAAATACATTATGAACATAATTAAAGACTATATTTTAAGTATAATATATGCAATATAATTTACAGTAAGTGCATTAGTGCTTCTCAAAGTATGCGAAGCATTGACGTAAAGTAAAAGCAATTTTCAAATTTAAAATCGCTTCTATCATATGCCATACAAAAACAAGGAAATGGGGGCCAGCCCGGTGGCGCACTGCTACAGTGCGCCGCTTGAGAGCGCGGCAGCGCTCCCGCCGAGGGTTCGGATCCCACGTACAGACCGGTTCCCACTCACTGGCTGAGCGAGGTGCAGGTGTGACACTGAGGGTTACGATTCATTGCCGGACACGAAAAAGGACAAAAAAAAGGAAATGATGTGTTAAAAGATCCTAAAGAGAGTATGAGAGATTGTGCATTCCTATGGTTGGAATTCAGGAATTACAACAAGACTGGGGACCTGGACTGTCCTTACAGGCCTAGACATTCGGTGGGTGACACTGAGGCGGAGAAGCAGGTCAGGCCTGAGCACAGAGGGCTGTAATCTAAGTGGGGCTGTACCTTGTAAGATAGAATCTCCACTTTCGGCAGCGACTCACTACAGTTTCCAGGACTGGCTCATGTTTTTTGGCAAAGTGCACATCGCCATTTCAATTGCAGGTGCTGTTTATTTACAGCTTTCCACAGCATTATGTTTATTTACATTTAAATTGCTCTTGCAACCGTGGTAACAGTCCCACGTGGTAGATTGTAAAATTATTTGAAGATCATTATTCTTCTATGTTTATTAACTTCGAGGTTAAGTCACCCTAGAGGCCAGAAATCGCACCACACACAATGCCCTTAATGATCAGCAGACACTTTCCTGAAATGCACACCCAGCTGGCCCCATCCCACTCAGGGAGGCTGGTGCTCTTCAGGAATCCATAAGAGATTTAAAAATAAATGTAAATCAATATCCTCTACACTAGCCTCCCTCAACCCTCTGGCTGGACCACTCGCATAGCCCAGCTGAGTTTCTTTGAGGGGACGGTCCCGTGTAGTTCTCCCAAATCGCCTTATTGAGACTGGGTCTGTCCTATGTTCTGCTAGCCAGTCCTCTATCTTCTGTTTACACCTAAAGAATGTCTGCTTTTCTTCCCTCTCAACTGCTGGGTTTTTTAAAGACTCAGCCTCAGTCACCAAAGCTTGTAGGAAATTCGGTACTGGTGGTGCCTGCAGGACAACGTCTTGCAAGAAGCCTGGCGCCTTCTATCTTCCCTCTCAACTGCTGGGTTTTTTAAAGACTCAGCCTCAGTCACCAAAGCTTGTAGGAAACTCGGTACTGGTGGTGCCTGCAGGACAACGTCTTGCAAGAAGCCTGGCGCCTTCTATGCTGCAGGTCTCCGCCTAGCCCAGGGAGCCACGGGCCATTCCTGATCTGCTGTTCCATCATCTGTGTGCACAAAAAGCACAGAAGCATGTTTTTCTTTCTAGCTGGGCATGCTTATCAGCTGTCTTCTCAGGCTCATAGCTGGAGTCTGAGTCCAGGGCATGATTCCTTCCTTCCTTCCAGACAGCAGCGAGATGAAGAGACGCCTGTGGACTTCTTCTATTTCATTGACTTTCAGAGACACAATGCTGAGATCGCAGCTTTCCATCTGGACAGGTAGGGTCTGGCCCCATGGAGATGGCTTTGACGGTGCAGGCAATCCCCCAGAAAGGTGCGCTGGACAGAGCCTCGCGTGGGAACCCCCTGGCATTTCTTTGCTTCGGCTTTTTATCTTCTTATACCTTAGTGTGATGCCTTTAAACCCAACACCTCTCATCAAACCCAGGGATTAAAAAACACAAGGTCTTTTTTAATGTAAATAAAACTAACGCCTTGCTGCTCATGTCGCTACCTTGGTTGTGACATTGCCCTTTGCTCTAGTCTCCTGATCTGAAAATGAGGACAACGTGCCCACTCCCATTTATCCAAGGGGTATTAAGATTGTAACACTAGGAGGTAAAAGCACATTCCAAGCTTCCCACCTCCTATTTGCTCAGTTATTGCTACTCAAGGTGTGTTCTATGGACTAGTGTCATGAGCACCACCCAGGAGCTCTCTAGAAATGCAGAATCTCAGCTTCACCCTAGAGCCACTGAATCAGAACTTGCCTTTAAACAAGATCCCCAGGTGATTCGCATGCACTTAAAAGTATGAAAAGCGCTGACCAAGACCACAGCTCCGATGGTGGGAGGGTTTGCCCAGGAGGCTTGATGGAATAAGGATTTCTTTTCCAGCCCTTTCGCTCTGGGCACTATCAGCCCAACTCTGCAGAGACCCCCTCAGCAGCCACCCTGCTGGGTCTGGTCAGGAACACCAGCCAATTTCTAATGTGTGGTGGCCTGGGGACAGGACCTGTCCTCCCGACTCCCTGACCATCCCTCGGACCTGAACAGGGCTCCCTCTCTTTCAGGATCCTGGATTTCCGACGAGTGCCACCAACAGTGGGAAGGCTAGTGAACGTCACCAAGGAAATCCTAGAGGTCACCAAGAATGAAATCCTGCAGAGTGTTTTCTTTGTTTCTCCAGGTAGACTACTGGCCAGAGCGATATTCTGGGTCTACGTTCAACAGTGGCCTGCCCCACCGCTGGCAGCACATGCATTCTCGGGATGGGCGTGTGCTGTCATCAGACATTCCCACCATGGTCTGCTTGATAGTAACACAAGATGAACTGTGGATGGGAAAGGGTTGTGCGTGAGATGCTCACCAGTCTGTGTGGGCACAAGACCTACAGTGCTGGCCTCCCTGGTACTAGACATTATCCGTATTCTAATCATACAGATAGGATGCAGTGAGTCTGGGTCCCACACTTTCTCTGTTCTGAGCCATTGGAACACTGGTACCCAAGACGCTCAGTTTGGTAGCATCCACTAGCACCTCCATCTGGAAAAGGCAATGTTTCTTCCTTCTTCTGCCTTTTCTCAAGTTTTGAGTTTCCCACTCCTCCCAGTGGATTTCTTGGGGCCGGGAGAGGGCACGCCTCCAAAGCCCGCCTCTCACTCCGTCTCCTCTCTCGTCCCCCATGCTCCAGCCAGCAACGTGTGCTTCTTTGCCAAGTGTCCATACATGTGCAAGACTGAGTACGCTGTCTGTGGCAACCCGCACCTGCTGGAGGGCTCCCTCTCTGCGTTCCTGCCATCCCTCAACCTGGCCCCCAGGCTGTCTGTGCCCAACCCCTGGATCCGCTCCTACACGCTAGCAGGAAAAGAGGAGTGAGTTGGCCCTGGCCACAATGGCATGCCTACCGTCCTGCAGCCCAGTCCTTGAGAGTGAGCATGGTCCCTGTACCAGGGATGTGTGGCTAGCCTGGCTTTTGGACTCCAAAACCTGCCTCGGTCCTCCTTCACTCCATTTGATATTGATCCTGGGACCAGCTGGCCTGGGTCTGTTCTCTCTCTTTGGTTCACTTATTCAGTGATAAAGAGTGTACTGTGCACCCAATTAGATGCTAGGGGATATAGCAATAAAAGACACAGGCTCTCCCCTCAGGAAGCTCCTTGGTCTAGTGGGGTGGACAGAAAAGCTGCCAGATTATGAAAATAAGTGCAGTACTTGCTGTAACTGAGACACTCTCAAGGAGACCTGGGAGGGACACCTGGTTCCCCTGAGCAAGATCAATGAGGCCAAGGATCTCATCATGGTGGGAAGAGAAGTGACCAGGCATATGACAACTCCTAAGGGACTTTGTGAAGACTGAGGAAGAGGCCACGGGATGAAAAGGGGTACGGGGCATCATGGGCAGAAGAGCATGTGGAGAAATGACAGAGGACAGCCTGGGGGAGCGGGGCTACAGACGGTGCAGGAGCCCTGGAGGGCCAGAGTCTAAGAGGCCTGGCGAGAAGGCTGTGCAGAAGCGGGTGAGGGACACGCACCAGCCTTTGCCTGGCCTGCCCCATCATCTCCCCTCTGGCACACATACCCCAGCCATCAGTTTAGTGCCCAGTGGAGTGAAAGGACCCAGAACCTTCTCGCCACATGGAACCTGCAGCCTCCCATGTGCCTATGCCTAGGGTCCTCCTGAATATGCACAGAGAAGCTGCCACCCACCCAGGGCAGGATCAGGGAAGCAGGGATTCGGGCGTGGGGGAAAAATGTGGGGAGGGCCCCCAACACCTTGCCATCTTGGCTTTTCCAGCCCCAGGACTTCTTCTCACCCTCAGGTGGGAGGTCAATCCCCTTTACTGTGACACAGTGAAACAGATCTACCCGTACAATAGCAGCAACCGGCTCCTCAACATCATCGACATGGCCATCTTCGACTTCTTGATAGGTAGGTCCCCACACTCAGGGCACCTGGCAGGAGTGGGCTCCGGCTGTTTGGCTGGAACTCACTGTGACCCAGGGCAAAAAGTTACAGCTCGGCTCAGGAGTGCTGAGTCACCCTGCACCTCCCCCAGCCTCAGAAGTGGTGAGGCCCACAAGGACAGAAGTGACATGCTCCACTCCCGAGTGGGCATCAGATCTGAAGTTATATGTTTCCTTCGCCAAGTGAGGGGAAACCAGGCAGGAAGGTAAGACAGTGCACAATAAATGTGCAGCAGTGAAAGGCCTGGAGGCAAGGCCACAGGCCCAAGAGACTAGCAGTTCCACCTTCCAGTCCCAAAGGGGTCAGGAAAGGGTAGGGAGAAAAGCAGGGTTAGGCAGGTGGTCGTCACACACGGGCTGAGATCTGAAGCACAGCAGACGACACCACTCTCGTGCCCGTCAGGAAGTCATCCTGTGTCTGTCTACTTAACCAGGCCCCAGCTGAGGGTCTCTGGGCTGAGGAAGGCCGACACCAGTATGTCCAAAGGGCACAAAGGCACATTTCTGTGCGTTAGAATCGCTGGCCAGGGGATGGGGGAAAGAGCAAGGGTTTAAGCCTTCAATTTGAAAACATCCCATTTAGGTCTTGCTTGTTTAGCTTCCTTCTCTCTCTGCAACTTGCCTGACACCCTGTGGAAATGGCAGCTTGTGGCTCAGCTTCAGACTCCCATCTCTAAACTGTTAACAGGCCCCCACTCCCTGGAGAGAACTCAGAGGTCAGGAGCATCTGTCCCCCTGGCCTGCTGGCCCTGATTTCTCCCCTCCTTTACAGGAAATATGGACCGTCACCATTATGAGATGTTCACCAAATTTGGGGATGACGGGTTCCTCATTCATCTTGACAATGCCAGAGGGTAAGTGTGACCGCCCTTGTACCAACAGTCCCTGCTTCCAGCCACGCTTTATGCAGCTGCTCAGGGGACACAGAGGCCCCAAGAACAAGGGCTTCCACCATCGTGTCTCCTGTCTCTCTCTTGCCCTACTTCTATTTCCTTTTTCCTTTTGATCTTTGCTAAGTCCCATTGATTCTCCTCTAGCCTGAGAGCACTCGTGTGCCCTCTAGTGAAATAGACGAGGTTTGCCCTAAGGTTATACCAGACAGTACACGCCTGGAGACAGAGACAAGGCTTTATCTCAGTGGCCGGCCCTATGTAGTCAGTGAATGAACAAATGGAGGATGGCTTGGTTTTAACATCTTTGGACAGGGTTTTGGGAGCTGACTGAGGAGAAGGACTGGAGAGGCAGCTACCATGATCCCTGGCATTTTACCCCAACGCAGATTCAAAAAAGGCCAAAAGAAAGCACCAAGGGAATGAGAACAAAGCTGCCTTGCCACCCATGAAAGCTGTTTCTTCTCCTAGGTTCGGACGGCACTCCCACGATGAAATCTCCATCCTCTCACCTCTCTCCCAGTGCTGCATGTAAGTTTTCAAGGGCAGGTGACAGTTGGAACACTTCACCCTCCTTGCAACCAAGCTCTAGGTCTTAATCAATTTTCACTGTTCTAGGACGTGGGTGGGTAGAACAACATGAATTACCTCATTTCTTATACTACAACTATCAAATTTTCCCCGGCAACATCTCAGACTTTTTCATCTTTCAGCATTAGCATCAATCAGGATCTAATCTTTTTTTTTTTTTTTTTAAAGATGACCGGTAAGGAGATCTTAACCCTTGGTTTGGTGCTGTCAGCACCATGCTCAGCCAGTGAGCCAACCGGCCATCCCTATATAGGATCCAAACCCATGGCCTTTGTGTTATCAGCACCGCACTTTCCCAAGTGAGCCACGGGCCGGCCCTAGGATTGAATCTTTTAAACCTTTCAATCGTCAACTTTAATCTTTAACCTACTCAAATCATCACCTACTTTTGCAAAGCCTGACGGTCTTTGGTATTACTAATCAGACTTCTGCTTTGCCTAGCAGTCATAAAAGCTCTTATTTTCAATCGTCAACTTTAATCTTTAACCTACTCAAATCATCACCTACTTTTGCAAAGCCTGATGGTCTTTGGTATTACTAATCAGACTTCTACTTTGCCTAGCAGTCATAAAAGCTCTTATTTATTTCTTATTTGATCACCACCTGAGCAAAATCCTGATTTAAGTCCCATAAACCTATATTAGATTAAAAGCAAGCACTAATGCCTCTGCCTGGCCACCACTTCTATAGAAGATGCCTAACCTATTTCCATACCTCTCCAGTGTTTTTAGCCAGGCTGGTAAAATTGTACACCTGCTCAGCTGCAGTATCTAGAGCTAATTATAAATATGTGATTTACACCTAGCAAAACCGTCTCATTCATTTCCAGTGGAAAACTCAGAGAATGAATATTCTTCATCAGCTTCTTAGGTTAATTTCAACATGTTTCAACTCCTTGCCTCCCCTCCTCCCCTTCTGTGCAAGAAAAGCAGTAACTCTTTATGGCAGAAATCAGACAATTAAGCTGCTTACACATCTAAGTCCAATTCCCACGTAAAAAGAAATCAAAATCCTAAAGATTGGTCCCACCTAATTTTCATCTCTCTGATTTTAGAACTACATTTTATTATTATAAAGTTAGCAAGAAACAACTTGGAGGCTGGCAGTACCTAGGGCTTTTGAGATGGCAGACAGCTTCATCATTTCTCCTACTAAAAATTTCTCCCATTAGCTTTAAATCTCCTTGAAAAATCATAGGTGTCACTTCCGTTTTGATTCCTTAGCAGTGTCAGAGGCAGTACACAGGGCCGAGCCTCACCATGTGTGGCATTACAATCATTACAGTACAAATGGCTTAGTGGGTTCTTGACCAAAAGGCAACTGGACAATGGATTGCAAAATACTGGATGTCACCTCTTATTCATTCCCTTATTACCTGGTTTTTATTAAAATATGCTTGAGGAGACATGGGGAGAAGGCTCTAAGAACATCAGCTACAACATCTGTTTGTGGAGAAGGCACTTCAGACAGGTTATTTTCTTTACATTTGCTTACTTGGTTCCTATGACTTTGCCTTTTCAGGATAAAAAAGAAAACACTTCTGCACCTGCAGCTGCTGGCCCAAGCCAACTACAGACTCAGCGATGTGATGCGGGAGTCACTGCTAGAAGACCAGCTCAGCCCCGTCCTCACTGAACCCCACCTCCTTGCCCTGGACCGGAGACTTCAAATCATCCTGAAGACAGTGGAGGGGTGCATAGAGGCCCATGGAGAGCAGAGTGTTGTAGCCAATGGCCTGACAGAACAATCAGCCCCAGACTCTGGCCAGGCTAACTTGACAAGCTAAGGACCGGTAGAATCAAATTTCAAAAAATATACCTGGAGCCAGTAGTGGATTCCAAGTGCGGGCCAGTGCTTCCTCACTTCCAACTTGTAATGCTGGAAGCCAACTCATGAACTCAGGAAGGAGATGGGGCATTTTCTGAAACAGCAACTGGGATCCACTGAACTTGATCAAAATATCAGAAAAGGGGTATTTCAATTAAAATAACAAAAAGTATGCCAAAATTAGCAGCCAGTAACCACAGAAGGAATTTTGATGAAGGGAAAACAAGTAGAGGCCTCAAAGGTGAAAACAGCATGAGAATGGGCCTAGCAGGGACATGAGCCTGGAGTTAAGGCAGGAAAAAAGCCAGGGCATACTCCACAGCTCCCCAACCACAACCTTCTCATGAAATCTGAAGAACTGTCCCCTACCCTCCCACCCCCCAAAATGAGCAGCGGGTGTCTGGGGAGGTGAGGCCTCCTAGGTGCCCCTCCCTTCAGCCGCTGGCTCAGAAAGGCCTAAACCAAGTTTCTTTTCCAAGCGCCTTTAAAAGTAAAAATATAGAGTCCCTGTCTCTACCTTCTCTCTGACTTGTTGACATCTGCCACTCCTTTAATAGGAAGCTGTGTTTATTTTGTAATTAAACAATGAAAATACAAGTGACAGGAACATACTCTTTCTATGAGTGATGAATCAGTCAACAAGTGTAAAAATGCCTCATTTCATCAGATCAACTTCTCTTCTGATAAACGCCACCAGGGGTTCAAATACCAGAAGTGTGAAGGGAGTAGAAAAGAGCTGTCAAGAGAGTACAAGGGCAAGAACCAGAAATGTTATCCAAGACTTATGCAATGTTTCCAAAGACAACCCAATAGGACAAGTAACAGTGCATACTTCTGACCCCACCGGTACTTTATATTACTGGTCCATTGCCCCTGAACCTTGTGTCTCCACAATAACAACATCACACCATTCGCTGGGTTCTTACCATGTGCAAGGCACTTTACCCACAACACGGAATCAACACATTGGTTTCCAATCTTCCCCAACACGTAGATATAACTGCCTACCTCCAGTGTGCATGGAAGATGAAGGTTCAGAGAGATTAACTAAAATCCCACAATTTAACAGTTTAGACCTATTTCAAAGTGTTTGTTCCACTATAATACAAAGACGCAGCAATATCTCAACCGATTTATGTAGTTATATTTGTTTGCTTTAAAAAAAAAAAAAAAAACTACTCTTTAACAGAGGAACTTGAATCCCAGAGCCTCCCCTGACGGAGGTGGCCCTACTGCAGGAAGGGCTTCCACTTCATCAGCTGTTCTCCTACTTCAAGTCATTTTTTCCCTTTGGAGGAAGGACTGGAAAGCACACACAGAAGAATGAGTAAAAAATATTCAGGCAGGGCTGGCCCGGTGGCGCACTGGATAGTGCACCGCTTGGGAAGTGCGGCGGCGCTCCCACCCGAGGGTTCGGATCCCGCATACGGACCGGTTCCCGCTCACTGGCTGAGCAAGGCGCGGGAGCAGCGCCAAGGGTTGCGATCCCGTTGCCGGTCCCCGGTCCGGTACGGGGGCGACACTGAGGGTTGCGATCCATTGCCGGACACGGAAAAAAAAAAAAAAAAAAAAAAAAAAAAAAAAAAAAAATTCAGGCAAAGATGTCCAAAGAATAGCACAAAATGGCTTGAAACTTCCAAGTCACAGAGCCTCAGGAAGGTAAGCTACAGCTCTTTCTCAAACCAAGCCACTTCAACAATAGACTGGTTTTCTAATAACCTATAATGAAAATGTTGCTGTACTTTACAAACTGAAAGTAACAGAATTGAATTTGACCACATGTGGAGTACCTATACACCTTATTATTCACTTATCTTTAACATTCCATTATTTTTTGACTAGGAACAAAATTCCCTATCATTTGTCAAAAATAACAGAAAACAAGACATTCCATTTTTAGAACTATCAAGTTCTTCCAATTTGTTTTCACCTGTTGTTCAACTTCCCATGAAATAAAAATTCGCCTGACTCTGAAAACTTTTCATGTTATTACTGACAGCAAACTAAAAAAAGGGAATTGTACAGTAAGTGAATTGGTGGAGTGAGGGGTTTAGAAGAATTTGTTTTATACTTCCCGAAAGTCGGGACAATTTGAGTTTGAAGACTACAAAAAAATAGTCAATTCTCTTACTCATGGTAATTTTATGTTCTATGAAGTCACCGTGGCCACTGAGTTGGCAAATACTGAACTACTGCTCCTTGGGAAATACAGGGTTAGGTTCATATTTTCATCAACTGATCAATACCTAATCTTGTTTTATGTGTTGAAGTGTGTCAAAGACACCTTATTTTATAGTTGATTCACTGACATTGCACTCATGGCCTACGGCACTGTAATCCATGCCTGAATGAAGCTTATCTAACATACCTACCTCCTAGACAAGGCACATCGCAGCCTTCTCACACTTAGGACGACTCAGTACTTCAGCTCTATACTTGGGGGCATTCTAAGTAGTGAAGTCAACAACAAAAAGCACAAGAATGTGGCACTCAGAAAAGGACACATTCACTATGAGACCTGAAACAAGACGACTGAGCGCCCCCTTGGTCAACCCCGGCTGGAGACGGAGACTCGTTCACTGCTCTGCTCATGCCCACTCACGACTGCAAAAGTGCTGCAAGTACCGATTTTGGGGTTACAAATAAATTTTAACGAATAGCCAAATCTGCAAATACAGAATTCATGAATAATGGAGATCAACTAACTCATTTGAGATGAACAAAGATGATTAAAAACAGCTCTCCATCTAGTGGCAACTTCTAAAATCACAAAGCCACTAAAGCAAAATTGGCAGAACTTTCACAAAACAGAACAAAAAACCCCCAAAATCATACACATTAATGGTCTTGGTTTTAAGTGGAGTTAGGATGAAGTCACAGCTCTGAACTTATGTCAAGAAACAAATAGGTATACACAACAATGCTGGTTTCTATGTAAAAATCCCATAGCATAAGAAGAATAAGATTCCCCCTTTTAAATGCACATAGATATAGTCTTTACTGGTAGCTATTATGATAGATACTTCGGAGATAAATTCAATGGTTATCTAGCCATCGCTCCTTGATGCTGTTTTAGCCCACCTAAAAATGCACTGCCAGGGTCTAACAAAAGTACAAAAAGGGTTCAGCCATTAATTGGTGGTTGGAGATAAAGCAGTATTAAGAAAACTGACAAGATGCTACTTCAATTTTAAAATGTCAACATTCAAGCCATTAAAAAACAAAAACTGAGTCCACATGGGCCACAGTTCAAGGAGAAATAAACTATAACCAGGGCAGTCAACCTAGGATAATTTTCTTTAGTTATATTCTTTTGTGACTCTAAAGGTTTCAACTCCAGCTGCGGGAAGGGATTACTGAACCTGGACAAGGTGCACATGTTACTAAGCAGCACAAATTAAAGAATATTCTTCTAGCATACATTATCTCCAACTTCACTGGATATAAAGAAATTAATACCAATATACTAATGAGTACAATTTAATCATCTCACTCCTCAGAAACCTAAGGAATAAGCATCAAAAATAAGGCTTTAGGGCCGAGCCCGTGGCGCACTCGGGAGAGTGCAGCGCTGGGAGCGCAGCAGCGCTCCCGCCACGGGTTCGGATCCTATATAGGGTTGACCGGTGCGCTCGCAGCGCTCACTGGCTGAGCGTGGTGCGGCCGGACTCAAAAAGGACAAAAAAAAAAAAAAAGGCTTTATATATGCAAAATATAAAAGCATCCCTAAGTAGCTAAATATATGTATATATTAAATTTAAACCAAAATGTATGCTAATCCAGAAATGATGTTTCCCCATTAACTCTGGGAAAGTTGCAAGGACACAGAACCAGTCTGTCTTCAATAAAAATGAAATCTTTGGCTTTTGAATCTTTTCCTTCCATGAATCAGTAGATAAATCTGCTATGCATCTCAGTCACCCTTTAAGCAAGGTTCTGAGATCCACTTTTACAAAATAAATTGGAAACATTGAAAATAAACATATTACTCTTTCAAAACACCAATCCCATAATTCACTTTCCCTTTTCATTCTTGCCGACCAGAGTAGACTTTTGAGGAGGGAGACAGGAAGAAGAGAAGGAAAGGAGAAAGGGAAGAAAAACTGATTCATTTAAGAATTTAAATTATTTAATCTCTTTTTATTACTTGACCTACTATTAAGACAATCTATAACAAAAAGAAGAGTATATTAGCACATACAGTATAATCAGACTGGTAACCGGGGAACAATACAAAATGGTCCTTTGGCCATCTGTACTTTCTAGAGCAGTAGATCTCATAAATTGTCTTACCAAGCCCATAAATAATGACTTCTAAAGCCCTGAATATCAACTAAGACAAATTATGCCAACTGTGATTTCTCACATATACTTAGATTACACAAAGATAACGCTTTAAATGTGATAATTTTTAAATTTAGACTTAAAATGTCTTAGATTAAAAACTACAAAAGGGAGTAAACAGCAAGCCAAATGATTTAAGAGGAAAACTCGTTTAGAAAGCTTCATGTGTATCAAAATAAGCATGAACATGATTATACACATATATGAAACTGTGCAATTTTATGGCATTCTAAATAACTCATTTAAGTACATTTTTGGCATTTAAACAAATATCAAATCAAGCTTTACACTAATAAGACAATTTTTACTTTTAATTTTTTAAATGTAAAAAAGTCAGCTAAACACAAAGATACGTACTGGTCAGAAAACCCTCGTTTAATATAGATTATTTGGGGAATTAAGAAATTTGTAACAAGGTGGCTTTCTATTCCACACTAAAATGTAAATAAAGCCTCTTCCCCAGATTTATACTCCAAATTTAGTAACAACCTAAAAGCTTCTCAAAGCTATGAGAAAAATCTACCAATTTAATTTCCTGGGAAAGTGTAGGAGAGGGGATTAATAATCAGAGCCAGTTGCACACAGATGGAAAAAATGCTTGCAGTCACTCCCAAATATAACCCCACATTATACATAAATCACAATAAAAATAAAAGTGCCTACATTATGGAACTGTGAAATTTTGTTTAAAAAATAACAATAAAAATAAACTGTTGGGTACCGTTGGAATAATGTAACACATAAGGCTGAAAAATACTGAAATACAGTTAAGACTCAAAACACAAGTTTACTTTAACAAAAAAAAAAAAAAAAAGTTTGCCAGAGAAATAAATGCTGGACAGGAAAGCAGGACTTTCAGCAGGATGGCCTTTTAGACCAATTTGAAACAACAGAGACACATCCTACCCCACTCCCCAACCCACCAGAAATTCCAGCTGAAATAAAAAGGAGGGAAAAAAGACCAAACCAAAGCAAAAAACTTCTTCCCAAATCTCATGCCCCAATGAATTTAGTAAGGGAAAATTCCCAACACTGAACTTTATCCACCTGGCATTTCTCCTTTAGCAATATCACTTCACTTTTCTATTATGACATTTGTTTCATCTATACCTATTCTCAATAAATCCAATCTCATGGAATCAGATCTTAAATGAGCCTGAGAGACTATACTGGAGTCAACTGAAAGAGATGCATTAACCAAAAGCTTTAACTTAACAACCAGGAGTATGGACCTCAAATTCTTGTTCTCAGTTCAGCATCTGATGATCAATATTTGGCACTAGTTGGATAAAGGTCAAATCAGAATTTGTGAGCTGAGGCAGATGTAGTTAAATCATAACCAAATATCTGTAGTCTGATTTGTTTTCAAACTTAAAAGGCAGGTAGGTACAGACAGCCACACCTAAAAATATTTCAGAACTGGAGAGGCAACATTAATAACAAGATATAACAAAATCTAAACAAAACCAGGCAAATTAGCTTGGCAAACAAAAACTGGTTAAAAAGGAAAAATAAAAACTGATCATATTCATCTGAAAATGAGCAAAAATGGGCATTTTTCCACCCTTAAACTAGTTTCTTTACAGGCAGATATCTTCCTACTACACTAAGATTTTTCTATATCCATTTTTCCTAACCCTTAGAGCTTAATGAGAAATCATTTATTCTATAAAGAAATACAGCTTATACAGCCACAGTCTACAATATGCTTATAACTGGGAAATTATATCACTTAAAAAAAAAATCTTGCACTGTTACATCATTACTCTATGGTAATTCATTTGGTGCTGGGATCTGCCCTCACTGAAAAGCATGGCACTCACTGCCCAGGTTGAATACTAACACTGCACAAAGAGAAGCAGTAACAGCAAAGTCTCCACAGAACTCTTTCTATTTATTTAACTGCGTATGAGCGTTCAGATTATACTCCAAATTAAAAACGGTGCAATAAAAGCAACTTTTAATATAAACAGACAAAAGGCTGCGATGCCAGTGGCCACTTGGCGCTGCAAATAGGGAAAATAAAGCAGTCTGCATGACTGAAGCATGGACTGGGGAGAGGAGAAAAGGGAGGCACAAGAGGCAGATTTCAGACAGACAGTGACACGAAACTGTTGTACTGCTGGATGTTTCGTTTGAGGATGTCTGAGCATGGGCCAAGAACACGTTCAAACCTAGGTCGGTCCAGCTTAACACACTTCAAGGGGCCACGTGCAACCACCGTGGCAGCACGAGGACGATTCATCAGCAGTGCAATTTCACCTGGAGAAGGGAAACGGCAAAGAGTGAGAGCAGGCCAGCTTCTATGGAAAACACTTCCTTAAAGAGATGCACTTCTGAGAAATAAAAATGCTTATTTCTGTAATAACTGTGTACAGGCCACACGACATCTGCACTTTAAAAAAACTGATAAGATATGAGACATTCAGTAACTTAACTGTTAACTGAGTAACACTCAAAATCTCAGACTATTTCTCTGAGAGCCAAAAAAGACTGCCGTTAAAAAAATAAAATTCAGGTGAAGAAAAGATGAAATTATGAAAGACTCTAGTATTTCGCTGAGAGATGACTTAAACTATTGTTGTACTGTGAGGAAATCCACACATACCAAAATAATCAGAAGGCCCCAATCT